CACTTGACTAGCTCAAGATTTGGCGCCAGACAGAACGCTTGAAGAGAAGTTGCAACTGAAGCTTTGGTGTCAGGCAAAAACACTTTCATTCTCTCTCTAGTGTGCAAGCGGCTTCTGCGAATTGCGCCAACAAAAACACTTGAACAGAAATTGCAACTCAAGATTTGGCGCCAGAATAGCAACTGAAGAGAAGTTGCAACCCTGCGCCAAAGAAAGACACTTGAGGAGAAGCTGCAACTCCAGAGTTGGTGCCAGACCAAAGACTTGAAGAGAAGTTGCACATCAAGATTTGGTGCGGAGAAAACACTTGAAGAGAAGCCATACATAGATTGAACTCAAGATTTTGCACTACCAAGAACACTTTCTCATGATTTGGCGCCAGACAAAACACACGAAGAGAAGTTATACCTCAAGTGTTTGCGCTAGAGAAAAACGCTTGAAGAAAAAGCTGTGGGTCAAGCCAGAGAAAAGTACTTGAAGAGAAGTTGCGACTCAAAATGATTTGCTGCCGTTACAACCCCAGAGAAAAACACTTGAAGAGAATTGGCAATGCAAGATTTGGCGCAAGAAAAAATCAGTGAAGACAAGTTGCAACCAAGATGCTTGAAGCGTGGATGGTTTAACCGAATCTCACTTGCTACATTGCACGCTTTAACCTGAAATCAACTTGCAGAATCAATCCTGAAATGCTGTTCCTGTGAAATGGGTTCAATAAGATTCCGGCGCAGCGCAGCTTTTTGAGCCAATCGAAAGCGGACGAGACCGTGACAGCCCAAAACCCCTAGAAGCGGACGAGACCGTGACAGCCCAAAACCCCGAGAAGCGGACGAGACCGTGACAGCTCAAAACACCTAGAAGCGGACGAGACCGTGACAGGCCAAAACCCCGAGAAGCGGACGAGACCGCGAGAAGCGGACGAGACCGTGACAGCCCAAAACCCCGAGAAGCGGACGAGACCGTGACAGCCCAAAACCCCTAGAAGCGGACGAGACCGTGACAGCCCAAAACCCCTAGAAGGACGAGACCGTGACAGCCCAAAACCCCGAGAAGCGGACGAGACAGTGACATCTCAAAACCCCGAGAAGCGGACGAGATCGTGACAGCCCAAAACCCCGAGAAGCGGACGAGACCGTGACAGCCCAAAACCCCGAGAAGCGGACGAGACCGTGACAGCCCAAAACCCCGAGAAGCGGACGAGACCGTGACAGCCCAAAACCCCGAGAAGCGGACGAGACCGTGACAGCCCAAATCCCGAGAAGCGGACGAGACCGTGACAGCCCAAAACCCCGAGAAGCGGACGAGACCGTGACAGCCCAAAACCCCGAGAAGCGGACGAGACCGTGACAGCCCAAAACCCCGAAGAAGCGGACGAGAAGCGGACGAGACCGTGACAGCCCAAAACCCCTAGAAGCGGACGAGACCGTGACAGCCCAAAACCCCGAGAAGCGGACGAGACCGTGACAGCCCAAAACCCCAGAAGCGGACGAGACCGTGACAGCCCAAAACCCCAAGAAGCGGACGAGACCGTGACAGCCCAAAACCCCGAGAAGCGGACGAGACCGTGACAGCCCAAAACCCCAGAAGCGGACGAGACCGTGACAGCCCAAAACCCCAGAAGCGGACGAGACCGTGACAGCCCAACACCCCTAGAAGCGGACGAGACCGTGACAGCCCAAAACCCCGAGAAGCGGACGAGACCGTGACAGCCCAAAACCCCTACAAGCGGACGAGACCGTGACAGCCGAGACCGTGACAGCCCAAAACCCCGAGAGAGCGGACGAGACCGTGACAGCCCAAAACCCCGAGAAGCGGACGAGACCGTGACAGCCCAAAACCCCTAGAAGCGGACGAGACCGTGACAGCCCCCGAGAAGCGGACGAGACCGTGACAGCCCAAAACCCGGAGAAGCGGACGAGACCGTGACAGCCAAAACCCCGAGAAGCGGACGAGACCGTGACAGCCCAAAACCCCGAGAAGCGGACGAGACCGTGACAGCCCAAAACCCCTAGAAGCGGACGAGACCGTGACAGCCCAAAACCCCTAGAAGCGGACGAGACCGTGACAGCCCAAAACCCCTAGAAGCGGACGAGACCGTGACAGCCCAAAACCCCTAGAAGCGGACGAGACCGTGACAGCCCAAAACCCCTAGAAGCGGACGAGACCGTGACAGCCCAAAACCCCTAGAAGCGGACGAGACCGTGACAGCCCAAAACCCCGAGAAGCGGACGAGACCGTGACAGCCCAAGATCCCTAGAAGCGGACGAGACCGTGACAGCCCAAAACCCCGAGAAGCGGACGAGACCGTGACAGCCCAAAAAGGCTCTAAAGGCTCTAAGCGTTTCGACCCTTTGGGCCTTACCAAGGCAACTTAAATGGCAGATGGGGGTCAGGGCATGTCTCTGTGTCATTTTTAAGCCCCGTGCTTTAAATCGTACATCCTGCCCCTTATACTTGCCATGAGCTATATTCCTATAGTATTATAGTTCCCGAGGTACTATACGAATCAGGAGTCTGCTTTCTGCACTCACTTTGAATGGTCCTTCTGAGCAACGGTCCGTGAGTCCGACCATGTCAGGATACGACGTCATCCAAAAGATGGAGTCTATGGGATCTCAGTCGGGCAGGCCACCATCGTCAAAACAAGTTGCCTCAACTTAGTCCCTGAGTTCTTTGGACCTCAGGGTTGGGAGAGTTGCCCAGGACCCGGCAACCAGTGGCCATCTCTGATGCAGGTGAGCTGTGATGTTGGTAAGTCTTTGTAGGCATGGACCAGCTTGAGCGGGAGCACTCATGCAGTATGTGTTTTCATGACTCTTACTCCCCGACAAGCTGGTTTCATTTCGGCTGCCCCTTTAAAAACATTTTAATTGGTAAATTTCCTGGCCGGCGCGGCCAGTAGCAATATGTCTCATGACTGTTCAGTATATGGGCTCTGGGAAGCAAGATGAGATGCACACGCACGAGTGATTCTTTAGACCTGACAACGATCCAGCCACTCTCAGTGTATTCCCTTGCATCCTTGAGTCCTCGAGTGCAGCTGCTGGGGACATCCAGAGGAAGTCCCGAGCACTTTGTGCTTCCGGCGGGTGCCTTCGATGCCCTGGCCAGTTCTGCACCACAGACCGTGCCTTGCAAGCCAAACGGGTAGTCTCAGAGTTGCATCTGGAAGCTTCCGTCTGCAGATGATGTGCGAAGGTAGCAGGACCGTGGCATCGCATTGCACTTTGCACTGGTCCATTTTGGGCTCGAGGATTTCGAGTTGCTCTGGATGCATTGAAGGCGTTTCTGGCAATGGCGACTGCGGGCCTGTCAGAGGAGGTGCGACAAAGAGCACAGGGTTCACGCAGCCACTTCATGCTTCCTGCAGGCACGGTCTGAGACAACGTTGCCAGAGGAGGCGCAGAAGGAGGAGCTGCAGGACCAAGTTAAGAGTTTAGCCAGTCTGACACTAGTATGTTTTTTCGCTTCACGCAATGAAATGCCATGTGTCTTTCTAAGTGCCGCGGTGCGCGATTTGTGTGTATGTGTGCGGAAAGGATGTGTGGGGTCCAGACTGGTATGGTAAGGCTTTGGCCTGGTAGGGAGTGAGGGTGAGGTAGTGAGGGTGACCGGGGTGCGCTTGTGATAGTGAGTGGTTGGGTGTGTGCTGAGGGGGGGAAGGGATAAGTGGCGACGTGATGGGTGAGGCGGGATGGTGTGTTTGGGGGTTGGTTTGGCGTGGTGATGTGTGGGGCACGGGGCTTGGGTGGCATAGGTTTTTTGGTGGAGGATGGGGATGGTTGGGTGGGGTAAGGACTTGGTGGGCTGTGGAGGTGGTGCGGCGGGGCTGTGGTGCCCCTCAAACGGGCCCATGAATTCGAATTTGGTTGTTGCAGAAAAGTTGTGTTTTTGAAGCATCTGACCGGGGTGCCTATACACTACATGCAAATGTAAGGACACCTTCAATTGGGAAGGCTTCCTCCTGATGAATTCCTGAAACATGAGGCCCCAGTGGTTGGATCTTCGCGCACATGGGAGCCAGGAGCCTCCGGAATCCCCCGAGGACCGAGCTGCCTCGAAGCCGAAGGCCGGGGTTTTGAGCACAGCGGCCTTTGTTTTTTTATTTTTACAATACTTCCCGGTACTCGTAATGTCGTAATGCATGCTGCCGCCTCTGGCGCGCAGCCTTAGGTGTGTGACATGGTGTGACATGTGTCATCTGAATCGTGTACAATGTCCGCATCTCCTGCAGCGGGATTTCTCAGCTTTTGCAATGGCTTCTGCTATTTGTTTTGCAAGAGCCCATGTCAAGAAGACGTGATGCATGACATACAAATGGGACGGGCGTATGAGGTATGAGCGCAACCTATCAAACACAGCTGACAGTGGCTAACTCCCGCAAGAGGTGAAGAAGCAGCTGCGGGCAGGGCGCCTCAGAGCACAGATGAAGATTCCAAAAAGTTTGCGCTGCACATCCACCCTCCGCCTACCGAGCCTTGAGCGAGTTATGCCATGAAGCATTCGTCCTTCCTTGACTTGGCGTTTAGTGAAGCTCTTGTGCACTGCCTTGCCGAGGTTCAACGCTCTCTGCTTTCCAACCACCTTGGCAGAGCCCTTGGAGTCTGGGACAAGGGAAGTTCACGTGTACTGACGGTGCTTTACGATGTGGATTCGGCACGATTCAACCATGGGCGCATGACATGGCAATATGAAAAGTGTGTTGAGTGACAGCTGCGAAAAGTGCCCCATCCGCTGAGCTTCGGGAATCTTCGGGATGCTTGGAAGGGGCATCCTTGACTGCCCGAACGAAGGTGATGATTCACAGGCCCTACAGCTGCGCTGTGTGCAAGGCCACCATGAGAGCTGAGTCCAAAGGGAGAGCTTCAGATTCATGGGCTATTGATGAAAATTTCATCGTTTGGTCCGAGTAGCCGTGTATTTAGGTGTGTTGAGCTGTCACGGTCTCGTCCGCTTCTCGGCCGAGGACGAAGAGGAGGAGGAGGAGGAGGAGGAAGACGATTATGAGTCGGAGCCAGCCTCGGCGCAGGGGGGGGGGGGGGGGGGGGATCGTAAAACTGCGACAATACACCGATACACCGACTGGAGGGTGATGGGGGGGATTGAGTTAGAAATGCTCATGCCTGTCGGGAAGTTAGCTACCCTCACACCCCATATACCATATATCTTATCATATATCTTATCCCCATTCCCCTTAAGGTAGTTCTCACTTCCCAACTAAGGTAGTTCTCTTCCCAACAGGCGTGACCAGGTTGATAGACTTTATGGGTTTTTGGGTGATTCGGGGCTTGGGGGCAGTAGATGATACAAGATTTTGTTAACATAAAGGAATGTTAACAAAATCTTTCAACAATTTATTTTAGAATAGATTGTATCAATTTCTGAATTTCATTATCCTGCATCCGAAGCCCAGTCCAGAAGCACACCACAAAACAACAGCGTGTTCATTTGATGCTCCTGCTGTGCCCACTAACCCCGAAAAACTCGGAACACCATACCACCAAAATCCCGAACACCATACCCCCAAAATCCGGAACACCAGCCCCAAAAAGGCAAAAACAATCAAAAAACCGAGAACAGAGAGACACCGGAACAGAGAACAGAGAGACACCGGAACAGAGAACAGAGAGACCCAAGAACAGAGAACAGCCTGACATCAAACAAGAGACCACCATGACCCAGCACAAACCCTACAGGGTCAAACCCCCTAGGGTTAAACCCCCAGGGTTAGGTTTCAACCCCTCAGAGTTTGCCCACAAACTCCTAAAGTTTGCCCACAAACTCCTAGAGTTTGCCCACAGACTCCTAGAGTTTGCCCACAAACTCCTAAAGTTTGCCCACAAACTCCTAGAGTTTGCCCACAAACTCCTAAAGTTTGCCCACAAACTCCTAAAGTTTGCCCATAAACTCCTGGAGTTTGCCCATAAACTCCTGGAGTTTGCTCAGAAGCAAACGCAAGAGAAAACAGGTAAAATAAAAAATAAAAATGAAAATGAAAATAATTAATACAGTGTTTTTTGATATTGTTGTATTAATTATCAGTTTAATAAATCAAAGTTTGGTTTTTTAAAGTACTCTCTTATAACCTTATTAACATCCCTTACAGTATTTTTGAAATCAAGTTGAAATCTATACTCAATGAACCCCCTGATTTCTTTATTATCGTTACATTCCATTCTTTCTTTATATAACCTTACAAGCTTTTTGTATCTCCTTTCGGTTATGTTTTTAATATGCATCTTAACCGTTTCATAAATAGGAAACAGGCGCTCTAAACTCAACAGCAGTTTATCAACATTACAAAATGGCAAGGTTTGCTTCTAATACTTCTTCATTGTGTTTTGCCCCTGCACATTTAACACACTTGTAAGCAAAACCATAAATATCATTAACAATATTTTCTGGTATTGGCATCTCGTTTAACACGCAATAGCGCTCGTGTTTTCTACAATCCTTGCATTTGCATCTCTCTCGCTTTTCCCTACTTTCCCTAAGGTAGTCATTAACCTTTATAACATCCAGAAACTGATTAATGATTTCGTCCTGTTCCTTCACAGTGAAACTTACCATTTCATTATTAATATATATACCTTTTATTTCTTTAAATACATTCTTCCTTGAGTGGTTTCTAAACCTTTAATAACTCGTGCCTTAAGTATGCTCTATCGTTCCCTTCAACATAAAAATATTGTTGCCCCAGTTTCTTATCAATTCTCTCTATGGTGTAGCGGTTTTGTGTGAAATTGCCGACTCTCTCTTTTTCATTGGGCTTTCTCTTCCTCAGTATTTTAACAGTGTCGCCAACATCCAGTTCAGGATAGATGCGATTCTTTTTGGCATTCATTGACAACTTCAGTTTAACATCACGAAAGCTAGCTCCTTTGGAGCTTGCGGGAGTTTGTTCTTGGGTCAAACAGCACTCAGGGGCCACACAAGAAATCCTCGGAGGCTGGTGGACCTAGGGGGGGGGGGGGGGGGCCCATGTTCCCGATAAGGTGGGGGGTTGTTACTTATCACTTCAGGGCTGAGCAGCGCGGTCTTCACACCTGCGCCCTAGCTTTCGTTCGCCCTGCTCTCAAGTTTAATTCGTTCTTTTTCTTACGGGCTTCTATGGGTTCCAAACCATGGGATGAGTGTTTCATAGCATTGTTATATGTTAATAAAATCTCATGTAAATAATCACCCCATTGAATGTTTTGTTTACCCTTTTTCTCATCATTTTCAACCCGCTTGTAAAGCATATCCTTAAGTGTTCTTATCGCCCTTTCGGCGAATGCTGGGTGCCCTCTTGTTCTGTGTAGTTCTATTCTCATCCTTCAAGTGGTCTATAACACTTTGATTATTAAAGCTCCCTTCGTCGTCTATATGAATTAGTCGGGGTTTCCCATCCATCTTCTTAATGTTTTCCATAACACCTGCTAATATGTCCGGTGGCTGTTTGGATGAAATCGGGACCGCGTTCATATACTTACTAAAAACATCTATGCATATCATCCCTACCCTAAATTTTTGATTAGGTATATCATTAATAGAAAGCAAATCAATTTGAAACTCATAACAAGCACTGGGAGCCACAAAGGAGTTCTGTCCTGTTGGCTTTCGCTTTTGTTCCACGTTCTTTTTAACAAACTCGTTAACATCTTCCGCAGTTATACTTTTATCCTTCCTTTTTGCTTCTTGTAGTGTCCTGGCTTTACTGCCAAACCCCCCACGATCAAAATAAGTATCGTTAATAATATCTTGTTTAGAACTCATTATAATCAGCAAGATATTATTTATTCAGATTGTTTTTCTCACTTTCTTCTTGTTCTTGTTCTGCTTGTTGCTGTTGCTTCAGCCAGTTTTGGTGCTGAATTATTTTTTGATGCCTTGCTTTCTCTGTCTTTTGAACCGTCGCTCCACATTCACAATGAAAGGGTACTCTTTCCTTTTCTCTTAATATCTCTTTGTGCTTCTCTCTATACAGCTTGTCCCTCTTTTTTATGTGATCTTTGTTGCTCTCTCTCCATTCCTTATTTGTTTGTGATATGGCATCCCATTTGGTTTCATAATAGTTTCGCCGGTAGTCTTTCAACTTTTCTTGATTATTTAGTGCCCAAGTCTTCGTCCTTTGTTGGACCTTTTCTCTATTGTCATTTGCCCATTCCTTTTTTGTCCTTCCTTCTATGCGCTTATTTACGCATTCAGTGTTTCTAATATGATGCCCCTCTCTTGCTTGTAGTTCCATTAAACTATTACAAGGATATAGCTCAATAAGCTCAATCTTGCAATTACACACTCCATACAAGCCACAAACCTTGAAAACCGTTGTATTGCGAGATTGACCTGCCACATATTTCTTGTAATTTGACCTGTGGCATCTCATACGGCTTGTAAGTTTATCAATTGTTGAGCCAATGTAACACATTTCATAGGCGTTACCAACTACTTTATAGATTTTTCCATTTGCGTAATTCGCAGTTTTCACCATTAAACACTAACATAGTTAGACAGTCTTTAACGCGATTCTTTAATATTTTAGCACTACAGTTGCAATACGAACAAAAAGCGGTACAATTATCTTTAACATGCGCTGTTTGATTATTTAACCGCTGGGCTGTTAGATTATTTACCACCTCCCCACATTTCATATCAAACTCAAACCCGCAACCGCATTTGTTACACCTGCTGTTCATCCTATCATAGAGCCACTTGACATCAATGTAATCGGCATCTTCTATAGTCCAACTTGCCTTCAGGTCTTGTATCTTGTAGCGCTTAACCTTGTTATCTAAGTATCGCATTAGTGTGGTCTCGTTTAGTTCATCATCTCTCTCGGATGCTTTATAGAACATAACCTTATTAATATCGGTAGCCCTTGTTAATGAAGTCCATAACCACTCTCTCGTTATTAAGTGTTGCTTCTGCCACTCGTGTATAGTGATAGATTTATCAACCGAGGAGCCTTGAGACGAATGGCATGTGGTGCAGTAAGCATATCTAAAATGCTCATCTGGTGTAGATATACTGGTGTTATATAACTGATTGGTTTTATGTTCTGTAGCACAACCCCTTCGGCTCCGATGCTCTTAATCTGATACTTAAAGTTGACATGAAAGGTCGTCCCCCCTTCCTTCTTATACTTTCTACATATCATGTGCTCACCCACTTCATACTTATTCTTCTTGCCTAGGTTCTTTCGTATCATGTCTGATACATACGAGCACCGTTTATTGGTATATGCTATGTTGTGTTCGGATGCCATCATATCGTCAGTTGTTTTAATGTACTTCTCCACAACCTGCTCAACGGGCAGTTTATGTATCCAGATGTCATCGTATATATTCTTAAGTTTTATTCTGTCGCTCCTCTTCTTAAGTCTCTTTGATTTTTTATCTGGTATTTAAAGATTTGTTTCATGCATTCGTTCAGATATGTCTCGTGGTCTCGTGTGTTGGTTATATCCTTTATTGGTGGCAGTTGTTTCCCGTCAGAAGTGGCTATTATGATTTTATCCTTGGCGTGTTTCTTAACGAACTCCCTTATCTTATTTAATACATACATCCCTCCCATACCCACCTCGTCAAACACTATGCAGTTATACTTACTATGGTCAAACGACTCCATGTTATCGCCCTTCTCCATAGGTATGGCAAAGAACTTATTATTAGTTGTGGCATCGGTTTGGGTGTTTTGTAGCAGTTGGTTGGTTGAACACACAAACAGCACGTTATAACCCAAATTCTTAATGTACTCGCCTATGTAGCTCTTACCCGAACCAGCGTATTTAGCTTTTATGATTACTGGATTCTGTTCCACTATTTGCCGACATATCGCCTGAGTATCCCATTCGTCCTCTGCCGTTATCCTTTCGTTTTCGTAGGTCGGTATTTTTACGAGCTCGTTGGGTTTCATTTCGTAATCGTCGGTCGGGGATATAAACCATTTGCCTTTCTCGGCTCTCCAGCCACCGATTTCCTTTGAGAAGTTAACTAGTTTCTTAGCCTTTTTAAGTCAGCTGTCTTTATCAGAAATGCGTCGGTCTTAACATAATTGACCTGAACCCCGGCCTCGACCAATTTATAGTAATCCTCATACATCCTGAAGTTATGGATTTGCAGAAGCAGTTCCTTAATGTATTTAAATCCGTTTGCTAATTCGGCTGTGTCGCTTACAGTTTACGTGTAGTATTTTGCATCTGTTTCTTTCTCTACTGTTTCAAACCCCTCTTCGCCATCTAACTCCTCATAATGTCCACTGATTTTGTTAATCCTGCCTCCGTGTATGGTTTGATGATATAAAGCCTCGCTTAATGTATCAAACACGAGGCTTTTCTGCGCCTTGTTCTTGCCCTTCTCCAGCAGTCCTATGTTAACGTTAGCAATCAGTTTTTTTACTCTGCTGTCTTCCATCGGTTTGTGTGATATGGTGGTATCCCACAGTTTCTCGGCGATGCTTTTATAATTGACTTTGTGAGTGTGCGAGGGGCACTTATAATACAAAATCTCGCATTTTCCGTGAAAGTGCTTTATAAACATACCGTATATTAACATATAGGGCTTGTTAAAGAACATCTTAGCTTCTCCAGTTGCCCTCACGAGATAAAGAGTCAAATCATTAAAACCCTGCTTGTCACTAAAATTGAGTTTGTCACTAAAACTGTGTTTGTCACTAAAACTGTGTTTGTCGTAAGGCTTCCAGATATCAAACTCGCAGAACACGGGCACTTCAACAATCTGGTTGTAAGCCCACGTGTAAGCCTTTCTCCTATCAATTTCCACACAGTGCTCACGAAACAGATAGTAGTTTTTCATATCTAGTCAGGCGTAGTCTCTGCAATTATTTGCCAAGGCGTTCGACCACGCCGACGATTTGGCAGCGCAATGGGAGAAAGTCCGGACCCCGACATCAGGTCAGTGGAGCAGTTTCGGCTCCCTGAAACAGAGCCTCAGGTCATCCGTATCCGTCTGCAACGTTTTAAACCCATACTGCGCTTCCATCCGCCAGCCGTAGCTTCTGTCGTTACGTCTGTCCTCCGTCTTTAAAACCCATGCGGTGCAGTTTCGACCCCCTGAAACTGAGAATCAGGTCATCCGCATACGTTCGCGGCCTGAAAATTCTGACTCTTCCGTTTTTCGATGTCATTACATTTCTTAAGATGTCCGTATGTGCCCGAACGTGGAAAATAGTCGGTCGGACATCGAATCTACGATCAAGATGTTTTCGATGTCATGGAGCTTTTTTCGATGTCTGCACAGAATAACTCGGGTCTTAGTGCCGCCTTGCGCTTGGGCCGGCTGTGTCAGCGATTTAGGCCACCTCACAGACTAGTGTGGGCGGGGGGTTGATATCCTTCTAGAGGGTTTGGGGTTTAGGGTTTAGGGCTCCCCCCCCCTTGGCTCCCCCCTTTCATAACCTTTATTAGGCTTAATTATGCCTAAACAGCCTTAATTATGGGGGAACCTAGGGGGGGTAGTACAGAGGGGGGGTAGTATGGGAACCCATGAAGGATGGGGTGGGGCCATGGAGGGCAGAACAGCCTAAACCCCAAACTCTAAACCCTATACCCTGAATTCAGGGCTTCAAGGCTTCAAGGCTTCAGGGTTTGAGTGCTTCAGGCTTTGAGTGCTAGGGAGGGTTTGTAAGCTGTAGGGGCGGCGATTACCTATTCCCCTGCCCCTTCCTGTCTACCTCTCACTCACTGCGTCTCACTGCAGTCTGACATTCCCCCACCCCACCACCCACGACCCCTTTTTGCCCCCCCTGGTTCCAAAGGGTCTGAGATCACTCAGCCCGACAAGGTCTAATTTCCTTAGGCCCAGATTCCAGACCCTCTAGCTGAGGGCAAGGAAGGAGGAGCTACCACAAGAGGTTCGCCAAGCTAGCACATGTAAGTCTTTGCATCGATATTCTTGGGACGTGATGTAGCTGCTTGCTTGGAGTCATCTCTTTAAATTGTGAGACAGGGACCACGACTAGCTACTGGTGCTGGGTCAGAGCAACAGTCCTCCAACCCAGGTTCATCCAGCAGAAAGATCCCAGAGTCCACATCCAGCAGCAGCAGCAGCAGCAGATGAAGGACTTGGGGCTTTTCGAGCAATCTGGTTAGGTTTCGTATGAAGACGTCAGTGCTCGAAAATTGGCATCTAAGGGCGTGCCCTGTGTTGCCCTGTGCTGCAGCAAGAGATTAGTTCAAAGATTAGGTTCGGTTGGGCTTGGTAAGTGCCCGAGAAACCCTACTACAGGCCCCACCAGTCCTGCTGTCCTAACATCCCATCAACCCTCAATGCATCTCAAACTCGAATCCGTTACCCCGAAGCTCTGCGCCCAAAAGCCTTGAACCCCTCAGCCCTGCTTGTGAGCTCTCAGCCGTAATCCGCAACACTGCCCAAAATCACACCCTTGAAAGCTCCATGAGGAGAAAGTGGACCGGGAGCAACAGCGAAGAGCAGCAAAGGACCTGAAGAGAGCCGACAAGGCCTGCGAAGTAGCAGTCGTCGCACACTACTGGTACCAGAGTTTCCTTGATTATGGCCGGCCCTTATTTCTCTCGGAATGAAGTCCTGAGGAAAAGAAAAAGGAAAACCGCAGAGCCGCTGTAAAAGCTCAACAGGCAGAGCGTGAAGCGAAGCGTCCTGATCTATAGTCGAAAACAGTGCACACACCCACCCACCCACACCCGCCCCCGCAGCCCCACACCCAAACCTACTCCCACACCTTCCAGAGGTGAAGAAGCAGCGTCCGGGCAAAGCTGGATTCCCAGACTTTTGGGCATACACTGGAGCCCCTTAAAACACTTCAATTCAAGGTGGGGTTGGAGGTAGGGCTTAAGAGTGAGGGGGGCAGCAGCGAGGGTGAGGGGGTGACTCCAAAGCTCTCAATCCTTCTCGGAGGCGGAGCAGGAGCGGCAGGAGCACGACCAGACGGAGGAGCGGGTCAAAGTGATGCTGAACGGGGAAAGCTGAGATGTTGAGCCTCCCGTGTTCTGAGCGCCTTCCAGTAGTCCTCTCAGTCCTCCTCTTCGCTCTCGCCTCCCCTTGCCCTCCTCATGCTCGTTTTTGAGAGGAGCTTCTCCGGCAGCGGCTCACTGAGGCATCCACGCAGGTGCACAGCACTGCATGATTTAGTTGCTTGGCCCAGTTTTTCAGTTTTTCGCTTTCTTGTTTAGGTGCAGTATCGTTTCAGCGAAACGAGAGCCAGGTCTATCCACTTCTTTGTCCACATGAGTCTTTTTCTTCCCCCCCCCTTTCAGTGGCGGCTTTTAATACGCAGGCTGCGCAGCTTGCGGAGCGGAGTGCGGCGGCGATGCCGGTGGACAAGGCCCGGGCGCGGCCGATGATGGGTTTGGGTCTGCTATATCTTCCCTGCGGAAACAAAAACCTATCGGTTTCGGGGGTTTCTCGTTCTTGAGTATCCTCCCTGACTTCATATATCCAGGGCATCGGCAGCTGAAAGCCTTGAAGTGAAAGCATACGTCTCTCAGAGGCCAGGCAGCTGACCTCGCACTTGGAGGAGATCTCCAGCCGCAAGATGGAGCTGGAGGAGACTCGGCATGACTCGGCTGTAAGATCTTGGGGGGGAAGCTTTGAGCTGGGGTGGTGCGTGTGGTGCGTGTGCTCATGGGCGTGCGTGTGCTCATGGGCTGGCGACGCATGCTACGCCAGGAGGGTCTTTCCAATGTCCGGTTGGAGCTTCTCCGGAATCAGGCCGTTCAGATGCTGCGCATGCCGAGGTGTTTCACTGTCAAAGAGAGGTGTTAGTGCTCTAGGTGTAGGCCCCTGAGCTTTCGCCTCAGAAGGGTCGTCTGAGCCTCCCATCTACGCTATGCCGGAGGCCTAAACCCTAAACCCTCTTACCCTCTTACAATTCTCTGGGTGTCGACTCCTTCGTTTTGTTGGTTCAGGCAGGTTGCTGAGCCATCTGACGGAAAACATAAGGGCACTGCAAGCCCAAAACCCCTAGAAGCGGACGAGACCGTGAGAGCCCAAAACCCCGAGAAGCGGACGACACCGTGACAGCCCGAAACCCCGAGAAGCAGACGAGACCGTGACAGCCCAAAACCCCTAGAAGCGGACGAGACCGTGACAGCCCAAAACCCCTAGCAGCGGACGAGACCGTGACAGCCCGAAACCCCGAGAAGCAGACGAGACCGTGACAGCCCAAAACCCCTAGAAGCGGGCGAGACCGTGACAGCCCAACACCCCTAGAAGCGGATGAGACCGTGACAGCCCGAATCCCCTAGAAGCGGACGAGACCGTGACAGCCCAAAACCCCGAGAAGCGGGCGAGACCGTGACAGCCCAAACCCCCGAGAAGCGGACGAGACCGTGACAGCCCAAAACCCCTAGCAGCGGACGAGACCGTGACAGCCCAACACCCCCAGAAGCGGACGAGACCGTGACAGCCCAACACCCCTAGAAGCGGACGAGACCGTGACAGCCCAAAACCCCTAGAAGCGGACGAGACCGTGACAGCCCAACACCCCTAGAAGCGGACGAGACCGTGACCGCCCA